ACCAGTTCATCATCGAAAGGAATGAACGAATCGCAGGGCAGTTGGTTATCCAACTAGCAAAATCGAACCCTCGAGAGCAACAGTAATACCTTCCGCTTTGCCGCGCCATTTCCGGGTGACAAATATTTTCGCAAAAACGGTTGCAAAGCACCCTCCGAGAATGCCTGTATTAGTGGATGGAAGATGGAAGAAAACCGCGATTCCTAATTTGCTTGGATTCAAAATGGGGCAGTACCCACTCTTTCTGATCAAGGTTAAACTCGCCTTGCGTTGGAGTCCTTGTTTATCGCTGGTAAGATTTTGTATGGTTGCTTGGAACTGCTCCCTTTGCTCATTACAGCGTTGTATTTGCTGTCGTAGTGCGCTTTCGCCCTGCTGGCTGGCCTAAATCATTCTTTTTAATCGGTGTAAATTTCATAATGGTCTAATATCACTGGACGTTTGACTGATAAATTGGTGCTTTAGTTGTTTATAACTGTAGATTATTTCTTAAGGTACGACCGGAACCAAGGAAGGATTTGATAGAGTATACAAAGAAAGCGAAAAAGATAAAAACAAATCTGAATGGGAATTTTTTGATCCATTAAAGTCAAAAACATGCTCCTTTTTGGCATCCCAGTTGGACCGGTCACTACAAAATCCAGCTGGTTGAAAATTTAAGAGAACAAACCCATGGAAAATAAAGGGACTGATGTTTTGAAGACTGGGAAGGAGAGCATGCTGATAAACTGGAACAGTACATACCTGTAACTTGTGCTTGAGATCGGCGAGTTGCTCCTTCCAGAGCCTTTCCTTTTCCAGATACACCCGGACCACTACCTCTTCGTTCTGCTCCATCGTTGCCCGCACGTTTGTCAACTCGTTCTCCTTATCACGGATTATTGTCTAAATGTCAATCAAAAGGAGTCACTGTGAGATCTGCGAGATCTGCTTAAATCTCGAAATTCCCTAACGCAAACGGCCTAAAGCATATCAATCAAGCGAGCAATTCAAAAACACCGGAAGGACAGAGTCACTGAAAAGGCTAGAACAGCGGACTTCGAAAATGTTTTGGATTTCTGAAATGCTCTGGACTCCGAACAATATACACTGCACGGAAGCCATTTTATTTTACAAACTCTGCCGCTTCTCAGTATAAAATGGATCTACAGAACTGCGGTATCAATGCTCTCAGTGAACCCCTAACTTCAAATAAAAAATTTTTCAATTTTTTCGGCAACGGAATGAATCCTCTTCCTTAAGTTTCATAAGATGAATTATTTTTGAACGATTTTGAATGCACTTAATTTTAATTACCTAGCAAGGACAATTTTTGGAACTAGAATGTATGCTAAAACTTTAGCTTACAGAAAAACGCATCTATC